CTCCTGCAGGCAAACAGTGAGTGGCAGTGTAAGTGCCAGCAGTTTATCTGGCTCCAGCTCAAAATCCCATTCCTCCTCCGCCTCACTCTCCCGGTCCCGTTCCGGATCGCACAAGTCTAGGTATGGGATGCACACAGACAGTAGTCTTCATTGAAAAGTTCAAATGTAAATATCATGGTATAACCGAATGTCTGTGTGGTTTCGCAGGTCTCTGTCGGTCAGTAGCGTGTCATCTGTATCGTCGGCCTCATCCAGCAGTAGCTCGGTCAGGAGCGCTGACTCAGAAGACATGTACGCTGACCTGGCCAGCCCCGTGTCTTCCGCCAGCTCCCGATCACCCACTCCAGGCCATGCCCGCAAAGAAAGGGGCCCTCCACGGGACAGGGGGCCCAACAAAGACAGAGGTACTGTGGCTCAGTGACTGTCACATTTGATGAGCATTTGTCGCATTTTTTGAAGTATGACTATAACAGGCCATACATATCATTTTGTTATTGTAAACTAAAACTTTTTTTGAATTAGAATTAGATAAGAATTAGTTGAATTAGAATTTACATACATATTAGATGTATGTAAACATATTACATTAAACATATTAGATTAAAAACTAAATTTCTATAAAATAACTGTTGTGTGGTGTCCTTTCAAGGAAAACCTCCAAAGAAAGAAGAGCCTTTCAGAGATGAGCGGAAACGAGTGGACCCCTCCGGTCTCCCCCCCAAAACCAGCTCTGGCATGCCTAGATCTGGGAACAGAGGTCACCCCATGCACCCGCCGCCTATGGGTCCTCCAGGAGGATACGGCTCTCACAAGGACATCAAACTCACCCTGTTAAACAAGGTAAATGGGGAAGGCGCTTTCACGTTCAGGCAGCTGTGTTGAAGTGCATGATGGATCAATGACTTCTTTATTCCTCTTTGGCCAGCAGCAAACCGACAGAGGCAATAGGAAAAGGTACTTTCCTGCCGATAAAGAGCGACCCCCTTCGCCTCTCAGCAAGAGGATAGCGCTGTCACCTGACAGAGGTAAACAACACATGACACCTTTACTGTCCATTAGAAAACCCCTCCAAAAATCTGATATCTGAGCAGATACTGTTGTGCTTAAGCTCTTTGCTCAAAAGATGTCCAGAAATAAGAGGTGGTGCACCACATTGCAATCTGCTCTCTCGGTTCCTCAAGCATCACTCTCTGATTTTTCATTAGGTCGAGACAGGAGAATGCCTGGACGACCCCCGTTGTCTCCCAGAATGGATCGGCCCAAAGGCCAGGGTCCTCGGCCCATGCCTCCACAAGGAGAAAGGTACCCACTGCCACTTTCTTTTGTCACACTCTTCTGAATATCCCTTCAAATATATGGTGATTTCCATCAATTCACAAGTTCTTGTCTGAAAATGTTTTTGCTTGTATGTAAATGTATTCATAATTGCCCTCGATATGGTATGTTCGTATAGATAACGTGCAGATGTCTCATATTCTTTAAGTTGAGCAGTGACTGAGTTATTGTTGTTATTATTAGTCCAGCTTTTATTAAAAAAAATCCCCATGTTTGGTCCGCTTTAGTTCCCTTTTTATGTGCATGGTGGATCAAGGTGTTTTATAACAAAAGCTTTATCATTGTGACTAAGACTAAAGATTTAAAAATATCCCATGTTCGTAATTCTTAGTTCTTCTCTCTCCAGGAAGCGTCCTCTATCTCCTCCACCCAAGTCTTCTGGGAAAGGCCCTGCTGCCGTGTCTGCAGGTAAACCTCCTGCGCCCGGGGCCGGATCCGGTTCTGGCTCCGCTTCTAGTTCTGGCTCAGGCAAGCCGAGCAGCACCCTTTCTCGCCGCGAGGAGCTGCTGAAACAGCTAAAGGCTGTCGAGGACGCCATAGCCCGCAAAAGGGCCAAAATCCCTGGGAAATAATAAACCTGGCATCATCCAGCTTCTGGGACATCCATTTTTGCCCAGTGTTTGCCAGAAATGGGGAAATGGTTGCCGTTCTGAACTCTAAGGATGTCTCACATAAATGTCCTAGGGAAAAGAGACCGCAGTTACATTTCTGCTTGTTTTGCCCTCAGAGAGAGGTTGTTTAGATTTTATATCGATGTGATAAAGTTGAGAAGTGGCGCTGTTCACTTGTTTGTTTTCACAGGAGGATGGAATCTTTACTGTAGTGTCTCAAAGATAAAAAAACACAAAAAAAACCTGTACATTCAGTGCTCATTTTTGCTCTTCATCCTGCCACAATCCCTTCTCTCTCGTATTCTAGTTGCTTTTTCCCTCACTCCTGTTATTTTATGGGGCGAGTTACTGTGGACAGGCGTATACTTAAGGTGTTTGGACCATCCTGGATGCATCTGCGCATTTGACGTCAGTCCTACTCAATCAGAATCTAGAACTGCTTTTCCAGAGCCTTTACAGTCTGAAAAGTACACCTTAACTCCTGATTTTGTGTATCCGCCATCATGTGTTTAGCCATTACTGTTTTTCACCATGTACAACTACAAAGCCAGATGATACAATACCTGTTTGCTTAAAGTGTATGATCCTAGAGAACCAATGGCAGTGATGTGAAGTATTGCTTTTTTAAGATTCTGCATTGTTCCCTCCCCCCCTCCCCTAGCTTTTCAAGTGAAAACCTCCATTTTATTTGTCCCTCATTTTTAGTTAAAAGTGTGAGAGGCTGCAATGGGGACACCTGGAGATCAGGAATAATTCCGTCTAGCTTTTTGTGACAGAAAAAAAAGCTTCTAAATAAACTATTTTGATAAAGAGAATAAATCTGTTGAAATGGTTCCTCTTTGATGGAAAGATGACTTTCCCCATCTGTGCACATATGAAGGTTTGTTTCTGCAGAGCATGTGCACATCTGCATCATCGGTTTGTGGGCTTTTATTTGATTACATGGCTCTGTTTGTTGTTCCACTGTCCTCCTGCAGCTTAGTATCAACACCTAAATCAAATTAGTGAGATCATTCATTGACGGGGTTGGAACATTATTCATCTTCCTTTGTTTGTACATTTTTACGTCACAAGTTGTAAGAGTTAAATAATCTGTAATACTCAGGACTGCACCCACATTCTTTCATGAGTCATTTTAAATGATTAGGACATCATGAAATTACTGCGGTGCACAAGTGTCATTTAGTGTCAGTGCAGCTGAATACAATATAAAATGCTGTTGGCTTCAAATTATTGGGAGCTTAAAAAATGCCCAAATCCACCTTCAGACCTCAAACCTATTTTAAATGCTTATGTCCTCACAAATTGCAAGCCGAATGGAATCCGCATATAGAGAAACTACAAAGTCAATCCTGTGGTTGGTGGACACCATTATCTACACTTGCTGTCAAATAAGCCACTCCAGACTAACCAATACGGTTTTGTTAATGGGCGATTATGCCCCTCTTGCTCAAGTCCTTTATTGCTGAAGCATATTTTGATGGAGTGATGTCTTGACACTTTACTGTTCAGTTGACTCTTATGAAAGGATTTTTAATGACGTGAGACCAGATTTAGTTTTGGAATTGGTATCAAAGATAAACTCTTGTAAATGTTTTTTTTTTTACTTTCCCTATTATTTTATATTTTTACTTTTTATATCACTTTTTGTTCACCATGAATATAGCTCTGGTAGCTGGCATCTTTAAATTAAAAACAAACAAATAATTGGGTCATTGTATAAATCAGAAGTAGTAAAAAGTTTACTATTAAAAATATTTAAAAATTAAATGGTTTATTAATAAATATTAGATGCATATTAGAAATAACTGAATACTACAGTTATTTCAAACTAATAGGAAAGTGATGATTATTATAGTGTCTAAATGTTGATGTTGTGTCACATTGTGTGATTGAATCATCAGTTTCACATTCTCCGTAGAATGTATAGAATTTATGCATGAAGCTTAGGGGACTCCTGGGGAGATGTTTTTCTGAGTGGCTGATCATGATGTTGGGAAATTCACTTGGTCTTGTCACGTGATGGCAACCCCACAGAAAACTGCTATTAAAGCTCATTTAAGTTAATGAATGACCTGTTATAGAGGACTCTTTTATCATGTCCAAAACATCCAGGGGGCTCCCACAATTTATGTCCACGTTTACTGTTCCAGAGATTTGAAAAGGTCACGAAATGCTCAGAAAAAGGGAAATTTTCTCCATCTGAATATTGCTGATACCTCTCCATATTAATGATTTAAGCCTTATCATGAAATGCAGGGTAAGTTTGGAAAATGTTTTATATGACTAACAGATGTCTTAGGCTTCTCTTGCATCACTTCTTTTTAATGATATTAATGGAGCTGATAATTAAAGGATAGTTGTTTTTTTAAAAATAAAAGTTTAAGTTTTACATCTCCCCTTTCCTATCAAAGAAGATAGAATGTACAATTATAAATTACTGAAGTACCACGTTTTAATGAATGAAATCGTTTTCTTATCACTTATAATAATTGTATTTTAAGTGTATTTTAAGTGTATTTTACAATAACTCTCTCTCTCTCTCTCTCTAAATATATATATATATATATATATATATATATATATGTATATATATAAGTGTATTTTAAAACACAATAATTGTGTTATTAGTGATAACACTCACACTTTCTTATTCGTATCAGTCATATTTAAAAGTTCAAATCGTGATGGTCCTCATTTGAGTTAATAACTGAAATCATTTTACAGCTGCTAATGAATAGGGGGAAAAAATAAGTTAAGGTCCGAAGGATTTTTTTCAAGATGCTTTTGTAAATAGCGCTTCATATGAAAGAGGAAGCACGGAAGTAAATATTTATTACTATTTCCTCATAGACTCGGATTTTCCCTGGCGATGGACAACAGGTGAGTATAGTATAAAAGCTCTCAGCATGAAGGCTATAACAGTCCAGAGGCCACAACCTGAGCATTGATCTGAAGCATCACTCTTGAGTTTTGATAATAAAATAAAGTCTAATCAAATTATGTTGGTAAGTAAAAAAAAGAAGTTTTAAGTAGATCCATATTTTACAAAGTATTTCGTCTTAACCTATGAAATATATTCTTTTTCTTCATAAAGAAATTGATGTTACACGCTGCTTATTTTACTTATTTATTCTTTGCCTTGCAGTTTTCGCTGTTTTTTGGAATATTTTTCTTGTTGTCGGAGAACATCGTGGAAGGAAGAAATATGGGATGTTTCTTCAAGGCACACAACAAGCTACTCGAAGCTTTTCTTCCACACGCCGGACACCCGCATCCGAAGGCCACCAGTCATTCGGCGGACTCCTGCGAGAAAGCCGCTCAGTCTTTAAAACACGTCAGCGAGCGCTCACTCTCCCCCTGGCGGACAAGGTAAATATAGCTCTCGCCACCACATGTAATCAGAACACTGTTCGGCAGTGAAGCATTGCTAATGACGTAATCGAACCAGCCTCCATATAATCTCAACCATATATATATTTAATTATTTATTTATACCTATAACAAAAATTAATGGGGGATATTTTTTTAAGTACAAATGACTTGGATGTTTAAGTCATTTCAACTTAAATTACATTAAACTGAAAAAATAGATGAATCTTGTATAACTAAAAAAAATTTTTTTAATTGGTTAACTTATTTTGATGAGTTAAAGCAATGTAAAAATATATGTTGTCATAACTTATTGATCATATAATTTTTTATACTGGCCTGTTTTGTAGTGTTCAAATAACTATACAACATACAATAAAACAGTTGTGTATATGTATTGTAATATCTATTGAATTTCACCAAATTTAGTTACCTGCTACAAGACTCATGCCTTTCTATCTGTTGTATTTTCAGCACTGTGCACAAGCCAGATATGTACCCCAAATCATATGAGGAAGCAAAGTGTTTGTGTGAAGGATGCATCATAAACGGGGTTGAGAATATGACCTACAACTCTGTGCCCGTGCAGAGATCTCTGTTATTCCTGAAGAGGGTCCCATGCCCGTCTGACCCGAACAAATACTCTTTAGAGTATGAACATGTGCTAGTGACTGTGGCCTGTACCTGTGTGGTCCCTCGCCAGTAAGAGAGGACAATATAAACCAAACCCGTAGAGATGAGTCTCATGTACCATGTCGTGTTTGTTTTAAAATGCAATTTTTGATAAGGTACTTACATTTTTTATATGCTTATATGATTAAGCTGAAAAGGTTGCATGTGTCACATGTTTTTAATACTTATAAACCAACATAGTTTTTCTTGAAGGAAGATATATTTGTATTATTGTAAAACACTACTTTATTTAGAGCATTATTTATTTATATAATAATAACTTATTTATTGTTTATTTAACTTTTGTATAAATTATGCAAATATGTGAACTTTTGATCTTGTGCAGCTGTCCTTTTATAACTCTGTCAATGACAGGAATAGTTATATCAAGTTTGTTTCAGTGATGATGATAAAATGTGTTGCAATTTGTCCAAAATTCAATTTGTCCAAATGGTATTATGTTGAATAAAATCTATGCTGATCTTAATTCATTCATTGTTTCATCATATTTCACCCTAAATATATATTTAAAAACTGTTTTGTAAATAAATGTTAATATAGTAGATTTGTATATTGTAATATACATTATCTTTGATAAAAAATATGTATATCTCTCTCTATTGTAATATAGTAGTCGCTTTGGATAAAAGCGTCTGCTAAACGACTAAATGTAAATGTAAGTAGATGAAGTAAACGTATTTATAAATGATTGTACCATTTGTTTTAGTGCCTTTACGCAGAGATAATTAAATAAATAATTACATTACAGTACTTGCCATTCACCATTGAGATTTATGAAATAGTAAAATGTAGATGATGATTATCACATGAATTATTGCCATTGCATTATTTATTTCTGCTTTTCTTTTTGGCTTTCATGTTAGTTTAGCTTTTATTTTGTGGGACTTTTATTTTGAACATTTTCTCATCAGTTTCAACTTTTAACCACAGTTACGTAAAAGCTGTGCGACAAAGTTTTTGTAGTAGACAACACAGCAGTGTGGCGTAAAATGGTCACGGCACTAATAAAGTCTCTCAGTATATTAACGAAACCTATTCGAGGTAAGAAAAAATTTATATACGTTGTCCGGGTTTAAATAGTATTGTGTCATAACATGCTTTGGTAGTATTATTATTTTTCCACCCCCCATTAAACCTCTCATCTTTTACTCACACTCATGTTGTTCCAAAACTGCATGACTTTCTCTATTTATTTCGTAAAACACTAAATATGTTAGGTACTGACAGCTTTGGCTTACACTTTCAGTGTATATTTTTTCGATACAATAAAAGTGAATGGCCAAACATCTCATTTTGTGCTTTACAGAAGAAAGAAAGTCATGCAGGTTTGTGTGTTGTTTATGTTTTGCAAATCTGTTAAATAGTGATGGCATGCGATGATGGACGCACACTCTTTTCCAGAGGCTCAGTGGAGCGATGGACAGAGCACACAAACAGCACTTGTCCTGGCTCTCCAGAGGAACCTGTCAGAGCTTCGGGAGAGCATGTCTGCAGGCGAAGAGCTGGAGGAAGCCCGACGACTTCTGGAGGAGGTCAGGAGAGACATCACATGGTTTTGCAGTGATGCTAATGACCTAACCTGGTGCTTTGTTCAGGAATGTCTTCTCTTACTGCTCTGCCTGGCACGACACCTCAACCGCCTCGTGGAAGCCTTTCACCAGACTCCTGCTGCACCAAATCCTGCGACCCCTGAAGCAGCTCCACCACTTCCCCCAGATGTTCTCAGTGTGGCCCAACAAAAGACACTGGGTGCTGTGCTGCAGTTTGTGGTCACACTGGGTCTCTGCCCATATTTAGCTCCTGGTGTAGGAGTGGCACTGGGGCTGAGGTCAGCCTTTGGGGCAGCAGTGGAGGGAGCTGTCCGACACGATGTGGCCCCTACAGGGGAACGCCGTCTACTTATCACCGCTAATGTGCTCCTAGAGGTGTCTGCTCTGTCATCGCTAGCGACTCCTGTGTTTACACGCCACCTGGGTGACATCATGGCAGCTCTGTGTCAGTTAGCTTATCGACCCCAGCGGCCTGAAGGAGACGGTACAAAGAGTAATAAGGTATAAATACACTAATATCAAAGCAATACTTAATACTATTTTAATACATTTTACTAGTGGTCTCTTTTTAGATCTGGGGTTCCCAAAGCCATGGATAACCTGGAATTAGCAAGGAAATGTAATATTGCTCCAGGCATAGAAAAGTCATGAAACATTTATAAAACTAAATATATATATATATATATGTATGTGTGTGTGTGTCTCTCTCTCTCTCTCTCTCTATATATATATATATATATATATATATAGAGAGAGAGAGAGAGAGAGAGAGAGAGAGTTATTGTTAATTTAAATAAAGCTGAAAATATAAATATTAAATGGAAAAAAAATGTTGCCTTGATCACTAACTGAAAACAAAAAGTATAGGCTAAAGTACAAAAAGTACAGAAATTATAACAAAAAAAAACAAAAAAAATTCATTACAGCTACATAGAAATATAAAAAAACAAAAACTAATAAAGATGACAAAAACATGTAATAAAATAAAACTTAAACTAAAATTAAAATGAAAGCTGAAAATATAAAAATAAAAGCTCATTCAAAATATCAAAAAATAACACAGTAACATTTTACAATAAGGTTTCATTAGTTAACACATTAGTTAACTACTTTAGTTAACATGAATTAAGAATGAACAATAATTCTAGAGCATTTATTAATCTAAGTTAATGTTAGTTTCAACATTTACTAATTAAAATCAAACATTTGTTAACATTAGTTAATGCACTGTGAACTAACATGAACAAGCAATGAACGACTGTATTTTTATCAACTAACATTAATAAATACTGTAACAAATGTTTTGTTCATTGTTAGTTCATATTAGTTAATACATAAACTAATGTTATCAAATGAGACCTTATTGTAAAGTGTTACTAATAATAATACTTAAATAGTATATAAATTATGCTAAAATAACACTGTTCTTGTTATTCTCACTGTTTTGTCCTTTAGGGGCAAATCTTTATAAAACTATATTTTTTAAAGTCCCTATTTAATAATGAAGAATGACATGAATGTAAGTAAGTGTGAGAATTCTGATTCATCACTCTTTCAAGTTTCATATTGGCCCAAGCTAAATGTTGAACTAATTCGGTCATTCTCATCTACCACAGGGACTAACGGTAGAGGAGCGCAAGACCTGCAAAGAAGCACTCCACAGTCTTCTTGGGAAAGTGTATCAGCCAATCGTCATCAAAGAACTGCTTCTTCTGCAAGGGGGTCCTAAACAGGTGTGTGTTGCCCACTATCTTTCTGAATACTTTTCTGATGTGTTAGTATTTGTGTGACTCAAAAGAGACATGTCCTGTGTATTGCTGTAGGCATCTTCAGGTTCCAGAGGCGGATGTGCTGGAGGGGGAGGTAAGGCTCTATCCCAAGCTCCCCCTTGGCTGAGGCGCCTGTGTGGACAGTTGCTGTCTGACAGGTTAATGCAACCACAAGGCGTCCAGGCAGTGGTGAGGGCCATCTTAGAGGGCACCGGAGGTAAGGCTGAATTTAGCAAAGTACTGAGTACAGATGATTGGTTCAGAGAAACACTGGAATTTGCAAAAGGTTTTTCATGGAATAGAATCAAGTTTCAAGACCATCTATCTAGTGTCAGTTCCAAAATTTACTGAATGCCTTGTCAGTGGATAAAACATATTTTGTGTTCTCAAGTATTTTTAGCTAATTGTGAGTAAATATTGTCTACAATTAGTATTTATTCAAATTCAGAAATTTCATGTATGCCTTATTTGCTATTATTTATTAATATTATAAAAATGAGCATTAAACCAGCCATACAATTTTTGTTACTAAACTCAAAACCCGTTTTAAAACTCTTTCAGTAATGCAGCCCTAAACTAGTAGATTTACTAGTAAACAGGTTAAAAGAATACATTTTTAAAACATTTAAATGCAAAATTGATAACCTATTTGGTTTTTATTGCTTATGCACGATTTGTTTTTAGTATGCATGTATGTAAATACAAATCAATTTATAAATACATTGAAACCTGTGTTCGTGCTTATGTTTTTTTGTTTTGTTTTCCGCAAACTTATAAATAAAACGCAACATCCTGGAACCGTGTGCTGTTGCCTGGAATATTACAGTTAATTGACCCCAAAAAATTGCAGACTGTGAAGGAGACAAACATGTTATGTCTCGGTTAGAATGGCTAGCTGACCTAAAATGTTTTGCGTATTCTATAAACAGCACGGTGTCAGTGGGTTTGGCCATAATGTTTTGAATGGTGGTGGAAAAATGTGTATTTTCATACCATACATAACAAATCCAGTACATAACAAAGTTCCCAATGTGTTTCCAATAGGTTTATCATTCCATGGAAAGTCATTCTGTTTTTTATAACCGCTGTAAATGTTTAGCTTGTGCTTTTCAGTCATGTTTACTTGTTCACATTGCTGACCAGCAGGTGGCGACTCTGACTGGAGGAAATGTGATGCTGTGGCCAAGATTCTTGCCGCCTGTCCTCGGCAGTCCCTCTCTGCCGAGAGCTATTACAGTCAAGTGTGTCCACAGGTGAAGTAATGTTCTCTCATTACAGTCAAAATAGTGAGATTATTGCTATAATGGTTATTTAGAGTTCTTTTATTTGGTTTGGAAAAGATGCTAGTAGTCAAATAACAAAAGCAAGAGTTCATTGCCATCTGTTACCTAAAAACCTATAAATAATTTTTGAAATGTACTCTAATAATAGAATGTAATATCACTGGATTTAGGTTCTGGAGCTCCTGCATTTCAAAGACAAGCTGACTGCACAGCAGTTCCAGAGAGTGGCCACTAGGGCGGCGCTCATCATGGTGCAAGATCAGCCTGAGTTTGCACAGCGATTCCTGCTCTTTCCTCTTCTCTGCCCCCTTCGTCGCTGTGCACAGGGAACCGGTTAGTATTTGTTAGGTGACTGCAGTTTAGCATTTTATAGTGGGTGATATCATTTAGGTTGTGCGAAAAGGCTGCATCAAGTTGCTTGCTAATATTTGTCCCAACACACAGGAATAATTTTTAGATGCAAAGTATATTCTCTTTTGAGTATTACAAAAATAACTGACAAGCTTTTGCAGGAGATGACCTATCCCAGGATGCAGTGGAGGAGTGGGAGCTGACTCGCTGTATTGAGGATGTATATAAAGTAAGCCAACCATTCTGTATTGTCTAATGCGCCATATCATCAAGTATATGAAATTTACATAAGAACGTTGTTTCATTCTGTTTAGATTTGTGTGGTGGGTAATAATCCATCAGAAGTGCTGCTGAAAGCTCTCACAGATGTCTACTCAACACTGTTCAATCTCTTTTGCTTCACCAAACAGAATGTCT